ATTTTTGATCATAATTAGAAACCATAAACTATTACCTAAATCAAAAAGCTGGGCCTGCTCTATCATTTCGAATTATTAATAGTAAATCATTTATGCTCCTGGTTACAAAAGTTCAATAATGTCTTTCAACCAAATAATTCTTATACAGCTTCAAAACGCCAATTTTCTACAAATAACCTAAAAAACAATCTGATACTATTCAATAGCGGTAGGCAATGACAATGACAAAGAGAGCGTGACAATAATCAACATGACTATTCTGTTAGATTATTTGACAAAATAAAACAAAAGCCTTTAAAATATATAGTATTCACAGGTCAAGAAAGAAAATAAATTTTCTTTGTGACAGCAGAAACAAAGGTCCCTAACAAAATATCTATTATTAACTAGAATCCAGCACTCTAACAAAGGAAAAGAAACCATGCTTATGTGAAGGCTTTTCCACAGGATTTAAACTGGGTTATACTAGGGTAGAAAAGAGTCAATATATTGTTATCAATAGATGAGAATCATCATGTGACTCTTAATAATAATCACAAAAAAAACAAAATTTGTCATCCATTTATGGTAAAAAAAATTATTATTGGACTAGGAATCAAATGGAACTTTCCCATAAAACAAAACAATTGGAAGCTAACATCAGATACAAGGGTTAAATCTGAATGTACAGAAGGTAAAATTATTATTATTATTTTGGTGTTCACAAATAAAGGTGATCAAACCAATTACAAAGATGCCTTCAAAGAACTCCCAAGGGGGAAAAAATGTCACCAGAATAGGTCAGTTTAAAATAACTGATACACAAAACCAAACTGTATTTCTGTATGGTGGCCAGAAAAAAAAAAAATCACAAACTGAAATTTTTTTAAGTTTCATGTAAAATATTACAGAAAAAATACCATTAATAATAAAAGACTAATCTAACAAAATATGTGTGTGGTATGTGTAAGCAATGCTGAAAGGTAGTAAGGGAGACCTAAAAATAAGTAAAGATTATCATATTCATAGAATCAAAAGACTCAGAATTGAGGTGTCAATTGGCTCCAAACAGATTTAAAACCTCAATGCAGTGTTAAATGAAGACACCAGCAGGCTTTGTGTACAAATCAAATAGCTAATTTTAAAACCTATGAAAATGTAATGGCACCAAAAGAGCCAACATGTATTTCTATGGATTAATGCTCTTGTACACTGTAAATATTTGTCACTTGTATTGGTGTAATACTGATTGGTCAGTAGCCAGGCAGGAAGTATAGGTGGGGCAACCAGACTAGGAGAATTCTAAGAAAAGAAAAAGGCAGACACACAGTCATCATCCAGAGGCAAAGGAAGCAAAAGAGAATGCCTTACTGAGAAAAGGTACCAAGCCACGTAGCTAAACACAGGTAAGAATTATGGGTCAATTTAAGTTGTAAGAGGTAGCTAGTAATAAGCCTGAACAATAGGCCAGACAGTTTATAATTAACATAAGCCACTGTGTGTTTATTTGGGACTGAACGGTTGTGAGACCAGGCATAACAAAAAACATCCATCTACAATGTATAGTGGAAAAAAGGATACCAAATTGGAAAACAGAAAGTAATTTGATCTCAGGTTTACCATAAAGCTACTGCAATCATGACAGATGTCATAGGTCAAAATACAAACACAGAAGAAATCACCACGCGCACACACACACGCACACACACACACACACACACACACCCAGTGTCTTTCAACTGACTTCAATAAGGAGTCAAGGTAATTCAATGGGGAAAAAAGCATCATCTTTTCTATGAATGGTAAGGAATCTACTGAATACCAATAAACAAGAACCAAAAAGTTTAAGTTGGCCCCTGACTTAGACCCATTCACAAAAACTTAAGTTGAAATAAATTTTAGTTCTTAATAAAAAATCTCTAAGAGTTCTGAGAGAAAATATAGTACAAGATTTTCATAACATTCTATTGACCACAAACTTAACAGATATGATACTTTTAAATTATAAAAGATAATAAATCTTCAAACTTTAACACTTCTGCTCTCTGTAAGACATAACTGAAAGAAAATACTAGCAAAACACATCTAATGAGGGATATGTATCTAAAATACATAAACAACTCAGTCAAATAAGCAATACAATTTCTTAAAAAGTAAAAGGTATTTAACCACACAAAATATACAGACAGCAAATACAGGGTGAGAGAATGTTCACCATTAGTCGTCACAAGGGAAATGTCATAAAAATTTAATAGACTTAGCTATGTAGCTGAATTTAAAAACAAGCAATATTGAGAGTTTTAAAGACTCGCGAATGTTCAAACAAGCCCATCTGGTAAATAACTGTAGAGCTTCTCTCAAAGAAAAACACATACTTACTTGCCTTACATCCTGATGTGTATGTACCCCACTAGTTTACATATATCCCAAGGAAATGAAAAAAAAGATTGTGCAAATATAGCTTTTGTCATAATCACCAAAAATTGTGGACAAAGTCTACTGACAAACACCTTGCAAATCCTCACACTATGAAGCAGAACTCAGCAGCTAAAGGGGCAAGTGACTGGTGACTGCAGAAAAGTCAGTACACAGCACAGAGTCACCACACACAATCCTACAACTCTATGTTCTATCTAATGTCATCATGAAAACTACAAAACTACAGGAGCAAAGTTAGATCAGTGGTTAGGAACAGAATGCAGTAACTTAATACAAAGGGGATGACGCAATGCTTTAATGATCAACAGTTTCACTCTGGATTATGAAAATTATTAAAATCTTTTTTCAAGCCAAAATGTAGTCCGTAAGAGATTTTTTTTACTGTTACATAGATTTACCTTTTTAGAAAGGTGTTTTATAGACAGTGTGTTGTACAAATCGTTCTGATGATTCTCAATCCAGTCAAGCTGACAATCAACATCAATTATCACACTGACCTAATAGATTAGAATTAAAATCTAGTGCCTTATTCTTATTACATTTACTTAAAGTAATCACAAACTTTAAATAGCTTAATTTAAAGCAGAATATGTCAGTATGGGATTTTGCTCCACACTATATAAACAGCACCTACTTCACAGGGTATTCAGAAAATAAATGACATGCTTTTTATAAACCATCCCTCCCAATAAGTCAGGCTCAATAAGCCTATCAGACACTTTGTATCTCTAGTTACTTTAGGAAACACTTTCCAAAGTTTCCTGGTTCAAAATCAGGTACTAGCTGTAACTGTGATTTTTAGAAACACTCTATGATGAGCTCTATGATGAATAAGAGTCAAGCTGAATTTTTCAATTCTTTCAGGAGCTCACCAAAAGTAATGAGAAATTTCTACTTAAGATACTAACTTGGTTCTCAAAAGCAAGTATCTCATTAAAAATAAGTTTCATGGACTGGGGAGATGGCTCAGTGATTATGAGCACTGGTTGCTCTTCCAGGGGATCCAGGTTCAATGGCAGCTCACAACTGTCTGCAACTCCAGTTCCAAGGGATCTAACACCCTGATATAGACATACATGCAGGCAAACACTAATGCACATAAAATAAAAATAGACAGGTAGATGATAGGTAGGTAGGTAGATAATTTCATGGGACTAGAGAATCAGTGTCTAAGAATACTTGTTACCCTCACAGGGAACTCAAGTTCAGTTCCCAGCAACCAACTAATGGCTAACGACCATCTCACTCCAGTTCCAAGTTCTTCTGGTTTCCACAATTACAGCATACATGAAATGCTGACACACATGCAGGCAAAATAAAATGCACATAAAATAGGTAGTCTTTAAACAAATTAATTCATTTCAAATTCAGAAAGATGCAAATACTAATAGCCAACAGCTCTTGGAGAGAGAAAAACAGCTTAATACAGTAGTAAGGTCCCAGGTAGGTTGCCTTTGCTCTAGAGGACAGTTCAACACCCACAAGCATGCAGGAAACACTAAAATGATGCGGTCAGTTATATGTAAGAGGGAGGAAACAGATGACATGGAGATAGATATAGATACAGGTTGTGGGGGGAGTGGGAGGGTGTTGGGAGGAGGGGAGGAAATGGAAACTTTTATAATTTAATAAAATTACTTTCTCAAAAAAAATGCAAACTTAGAATGCAAAAAAAAAGACACAGGTGCATGTAGTGATGTTTCATTTGTATTTTAATAAAGCTTGCCTGAAGATCAGAATGCAAAACAACCACACTAGTCAGCCATACAGGCCAGGCAGAAGTGACACACACCTTTAATTCCAGCAGTCACACTAGTTAGTCACAGAGGCCTGGAGGTGGTGGTGCATGCCTTTAATACTAGCACTAGAGAGGAATATAAGGCAAGATGAGACAGGAACTCACTCTCTTTCAGTGTGAAGACTTCATAGAGGTAAGAGCTCCCTAGTGGTTTGGCTGCTTTGCTTTTCTAATCTTCAGGTTAAACCCCAGTCTATCTCTGGGCTTTTATTATTCGTGTTACAGATGGAGATATAAATAGAAAGATTCACACACACACACACACACACACACACACACACACACACACACAGCTACATTATGGAGAGCGGCCATAATTATACATGCATAGACATGAAGCAATTAAGAGATGAATCTGATCAAAATAAAAATGGACTTACATATGAAGAAAATAATTTTTTTAAAGTGCACATAATTACAATTGCTGTTTATACTAACGTGGTCCATCGAGAGACTGGATGGTGACTCACAGTGAAGGATTATCACAATGTGACAATAACCCTCACTGCCCTTCATGTCACAATCTTTACTACAGCCACTTTCAAAACATGGCAGTAGAAAACCATTAAAAAAGACTGTAGTTGACAACCTCAAGCTTTGAAGTTAGGAAGAGTATGAGAATTCTTTGACACTTTTCCTGTATTTAAACATGAACAGAAATGAAGAGCACACAACGAAGACACTCACCCTAAGCTCCTCTTAGTTGCTCTTCTCATGACTTTGCAAAGGCTACAATTAGACAGAGGAAAGAGGCAAGAGAAGACTCCATTTGGAGTAAACTTACCGACAATGCTTGATTCTCTTTAAGATCCAACCCAAACACATCACGCCGCTTCACTGTGAGGAAATCAGCATCAGGCCCATCTTCCTCATCATCATCTCTGCCTAAGAACTGCACAGGACCTTCCTTGGCATCCTCCTGTTCCTCCTCAATTTTGAGAACAGATTCAGTACGAGGCTCTCTTGCTTTTCCCGGTTGCTCTTCCATTTCTTCATCTTCTGTGTCTTCGTCCTGCTCTTCACTCTCACCACTGGCCAATCTGTAGTCTGTCTCTTCTAGGTGCTTTCCACTTTTGTGAAGGATGGACATTTTCTCACTGAAATAAGCTCGAAATTCTTCTACTTCGTCATTGCTGAGGGAGGGAACCCTGGGCTCAGTTGTTTCAGTGACTTGATTCCTTACCACTCCTTTGGTGGGCTGCTTCTCCATTTTTTGAAGAAATCTTATCCGTGGAGCGACAGCAAGACCAAGGGACCTTCAGGAATGAAGAGAACAAAGGTAATTATTTCATTATGGTGATGGTATGTTTGTGGTGTTTATGGAGGTTTCTCCACAGCTAAAGTCTATTTCCATGGCTTTGTTTTAATATTCCTCTAAGACACATCAATTCTGACAGATTAAATAATTCAAAATAAAGCCACAATACTTGTATAGAAAATATTTTAAACACCTAGCTTTGTTTCAAGAGACTTGATATGGTATTTAAAAAAAGAAAAAAAAAGAGCACTGAAATAAAAATAAGATGGTCACAGCTCACATTCTAGATTCAATTTTCAATTCAATTCTCAGCTTCCTCACAACACATAATAATAACACCTGCCAGGTCTACCTCACTGGTGCTATGAAGTCCCAATTAAATAAATGTATAAAGGTAATTTATAAAACATAAGCTACCATATAAAATGTAAAAGGCATGGCTGAGGAATGACAAAACAAAACAAATATTCTCAAAAAATTGTGCAGAATACATATACCGTCTGTCATCCTTACTTACAAAAATATATTTTTCTTTTTAAAAAAGCTAAAAGGGGGAAATATTGGGATTGTGTTTTGTTTTTGTCTTGTATGTTTGTTTGTTTTGTTTTGTTTACCTAAGATCAAAATTTGGCATGTTTCCTTCCAGAACCAACACTAACAATTTTTACTAAATTCCCATGGTGGATAGAAACACAACTTTCAAAAAGCAAAAGTTAAGTTAGGCATGGTAGCATACCCCTTTACTCTTATTAATCCCAGTACTCAGGAGGCTGAGGCAGACATATCTCTGTGAGTTAGAGGACAGTTCCGGGTCTGCCAAGGCTCCATAGTGAGACAAAGCCTCCAAATAAATAATTAAATGGCAGCTTTATCCACTGTTTTCCCCCTATATAATTCATAATAGAAACTGCAAAATTCATTATTGAAAATCACAAACTCAGAAACAGAGCTAAGGTTCAAAATGCACAGCTCTGTCACTTACTAGTTGTATGATCTCAAGAATATTCGACTCTCAAAATAGTTTTCTTATCTGCCAAACATAATGATTGAGAATTCCTACCTAATAGAGCTGTGATAAAGTTAATAAAATGAATACAGTGAAAATAGTAAATAGCAACTGTGGCAGCCATTTCTATCATTACTGCTGTCATGATATGAAGGGTGAGACAATGAGTTTATATACACCAGAAGACTTCTAATAAGTATACAGTGACATGGTTTTCAGAAACTGAAACCTGAATTCCTTGAAGATAAGAGTATATATGCACATGCAATTTTATCATTAAGTGAAATGACCTCCATATATTGGCCACTCAAAGTATTTCCCTAGTATATTTTTAACCTTCTATCTTATAAACATGGCAAATGTTTTAGTTATCATAGGATTCTAAAGGAAATCCTACACCTCAAAAAAATTATACATCTAAGTAGCAACATAAACTAAAAGCATAGTCAAACTATAATGATAACTTAGACTTAACATAACTATTTGCCTTGTGTAAACATCACCAAAAGCAAGATCTCAACAACAAACAGGACATTTACTAGTTTGATACAACAAGAGAGCTTCTATATATGACCCTGCAGTATTCAAAACCTATGCCATCATTTGTGAATATTGCAGCAACCAGAAAAAACACACTGAACTTCACATAAAATACAAAAGTAGCTAAAAATCCAAATCTTGGCATCATATTAAAAAATGATGAAACTAGGAACTAGTAAATAAGCATAAGGAAACAAAAGCATGTTTTCCCATCCAATACCAAAATAGTAATGCTATCTAACAAAAGGGCTTTACAACTAACAGATCATATAATATAAAATGCAGAATCTAACAGAATAGAAAACAGCAGCTTACCTAAGTCAAACTTTTTGTTATGAGGGGAAAATGAAAGGGATATAAATATTCTCATGTATGAAATCCTCAAATAAAATATTTCTTAAATTTTCTTTGTTAAACTCAATTTAAAAGTAAAGGCATTCAAATTCCTAGAAAACAAGCCAAGCATTCAGACTTTGCCTAAAGCATAATTTATCTTGGAAACCTAAGATAAACATTAAGGTATAATAAAGCTCAAGGGTACTTCTAAAGATTTAGTCAATGCATTTCCCATAGATAGGACTCCAACAGAGTTAAAAGGTTATTTTCGTTTTTGTAATCTCATAACTATTCCAACAAAACCAGTTAGTCCTTCCATACATTCAGCAACCTGAGTCACTAAATCTTGCAACATCTTGCAACAGTAACTGCAAGTGTCCATAAGTAATAAAGACTGAAAAGATAAACAAAACTTATAAATATGAACCTCCTGACAATAAGAACTAAAATACTGGTTACTTTCCAAGAGTTAATCTAACACACCTCTCTGCAGATTTTCAACAGACTGTTGTTCTAAAGTAAAGAGCAGACTCTTAGAGGAAACCCTAGAGCGATCCCTCTAGCTTTATTACAGCTGTTATCAATACTTACAGTGCATATTCAGTAATAGGTAACTTGCTCACATTAAATACTTCTTTATCCTTCATAAGATATACTGAACGTATGTAGGAGACAAAGCACTGTAAAATAAAAAATTAAGAATTAGCCTAAGCCAATAGAAAACTAAGAGATAATTCAGTAGTAGTGAAAAAATACAAGCTAGATCAACAAACTCTAATTTGCTACACAGAAAAATAAACTGCTATAACTGTAATATTAGAAAAGAGTTTGCATTTTATTCCAACGCAATACAAAATATTACCTGGCTGTGCATGGTGGTGCATTGCCTGCAATTCTATCACTTGGGAGGTAGAGATAGACATTGGAAATTCAAGGCCAACCAGGGCTACATAAAATCTTACTTCAAATGAGAAAATCCTCAACTTCCCAAAAAGCTACTGAATATTAATTAGAACTACTTAATTACAATGAAGTGCAATGAACTAACACAGGCAATAGAATAATACAGACAGAGTATCTGAACTGATTAAATGTTATTAACTGAGCAAAAATCAGCATTTTCTAAATTTTCTAAAGTCAGAAATTTTCTCATCTATCAAAAACACAACAGTAATAACTAAGTGTTATGACAATGAGAAATCCATATAGGACACCCAGAATATCTTCTGAAATATAGCAGATGCATATAAATGTTTTTGTTGATAATACTGTAATAGTTAAAAAATAATTTTTTCAATAAAATAAAATTTCACTATAAGTGAGTCAAATTTTGACAGAAAGGTTGTTTCCCTTTTATATTGTGATTTCAAATAATTTACCATCATCCTGGAAATTTTACTTCTACTTTTTTTAAATAAAGCTATGCTCATGACACAGCTATGTCATTCTGATCCTATCAGTTCGTAAAACAAATAGATAATAAAATACATCTCAGCAAGTACTTTTACTTTAAAAATAATTTGTGAAGGGCTGGGGAAATGGCACAGTCAGTAAAGTACTGACCATCAAAGCTTGAGAACTTGAACTTGAATGCCCGGCATCCACACTAAAAAGCTGGGCATGCAGAATGTGCCTGTAATCCCAGCACTGGGAAGCCAGTAACAGAAGGATCCCTGTAACGTGCAGCCCAGTGAGCACAAGTCTAGCCAGATGCATAGCTCCAGGTACAATAAGAGACCTTTTCTCAAAAAAATAAGGTAGAGAATGATAGAAGAAGACACCCATAACTGACCTCTGGCCTCCACACATATGTCCACACACATGTATGCACACCTACACATACACATACACACAAAGAATATAGTACACATATAAAAATTTTATAAAGTATATTTAATCCTTCTGTCCATATTTCTTAAACTTCATATTTTCTTCTATATCTCTACATTTACACCAATCTTTTCTACCCAACTAATCTCCCAACAAACCATTTTCTGTCTCCAAAGGCATTAACAATGAATGGTGCTGGTTCAAAGGTATTTTCCTCTGCAATAACTCACAAGAAATAATACCAAGTGCTTATAGGTTTTGTTCCATCAGGATTAATCAAAAGCTAGAAAGTCATTTTTCTGAAACCAGATAGCATGATGGTGCTAGGAAGACAGCCACTCTGCTTAACCACGTGTGACACCAATAAGTCACATCGTCTATTTCCGTGTGCTAATCTATATTTTTTGTTCTAGATGGCTAATATTCCATATGCTTAAACCAGTGAAACTACATCATTTCAGCATTTTCTATCTCCTGAACCAATAAACAAATAACCTGCCAGTCATGTAGTAAATCACAACACTATCAACGTTTTCAGCATCATGTGGTTTTTAATTCCTAACATTTCTCCTCACAAATAACTGATCTGAAGATTGATTAGTCTTACTTGGCCATTCCAGAATGTGCACACATTTCAAAATGTCAGATGTACATCATAATAAAATGTCAGTGTGGGCAATTTCTTACTAAGACTTTTTTAGTTCAGAAAAGCTATTCAAGAATAGTAAGTCGTATTAATAGATTCAAATTTCATTGCTGGAGATAATTTGCAAAAATTCTTTGCCACCAAGAAATTCAGCTTAGTAAAGACAATATTAATCTCTCCACCAGAAAATGCAATCAGAACTTATAATAATTTCACTGAAAAAATAAGTTAAGTTATTAACACCAGGCTGCTTCAAACTTAAAAATCATCTTAGAACTTCCCCTGTGTCTCTAATAAGATTAAACACAGGTAAATTTAAAAAATACTTTTTAAAATTAAGGTAAATTTTAAGAAACACTTTTAAAACTTAAGAATTAATTTAAGAATTAAAAAGTAAAAACTTCACTGCTTAAACCTGTTTGCTATGACCATGCAACACTGATCATACAAATCCATTTCTAAAACCAACACTGGATTCAAAGTTGACTTACCCTTTGAGCTCTTTCTTTTAAATCTTGATCTTGGGCTAAAAATGACTCTAGTTTTTTCTGAACATCAATAAGTTTTTCTGGATTGATTCTTTTCAATAAAAAAAAATAAAAACGGTTAAACTAAAAAAAATCTCAATTTTAAAAACAAAAATAATACACAGCATTTTCAATTTGACTTGAGTGTTTAACATTATTTCTCAACTATAGACCAAGAGACACCTTTTGTTTTTCTAATTTCAAACTGAATTATTACATTTCTCTAACACTAGAGTAGCAGCAGGGAAATAATAAGAGTGGATGAAGTTGTTTTTCCTTTACTAATAGAGAAATTTTTCAAAACACACAAAGCTACTCACCTCAAAACTTAATACATGGTCAATTTTTATCTTCTATATTCTCAACCAGCTCTTTCACTGTCTAACAGTTCAAATTACTTTTAGACAAATCAAACTATTTTTCAGTGTCTCCAATACAAGTAAGACTCTGATGGATTCCACTTTGCCCAATGTACACATCCTCAATGAAAGGAGATTATGTTCCTTTGAAATGAAAGAACCACCCACAAAATGATTTCATTCAAGAAGTATTACCCTTTCAATCTTCAATGCTCCTTGAAACTAAGAAGTTCTCCTTTCTCTTATTTTTCTCTGCTGCATTCTGCAAAATTGTTTCAACATAAATAGTATTTTAAAGGTGTCAGAGCTGGGGAGATGACTTGGCTGGTAAAGTGCCCGCCATATATGCATAAGGATCTAAGTTCAGCTCCTCGGAGGCATTGTAGTATGTGTCTGTAACCTCAGCCCTTTGGAGGGGGATGGAGATAAGGTGAGGACAGGCAGAACCCTGCCGTTCATTAGTAGGCTGCCAGACTAGCCAGCGTGATGAGCTTCAGGTTCAGAGTGAGAGCCTGTCTCAAAAATAAAGATGGAGTATGGTGATCAAGGAAAGACACCCAAATGAACCTCATGTCTCCATGAGACAGAGGTACATGTACAGGCACACATGCACATGTATACTACACACATAAACAACATTAACAACACAAGCACAAACAGAATCTTTTAATATTTTCAAGAAGAAGGCAACTAAAGTCAGATGTGGTGGTAAATGCCTATAATATCAGCATTTGGGAAGTGGAGACCACCTAAGCTACACACACAGTACGTTTGAAGGTATAGCCTGGGCTACATTGAGACCCTATCTCAATCAATGAAGTAATCATTCAACCAATAAGTAATTCTTTACCATTACTATGTTTGTTTCAACATTCAATAGAAAAAAATATAACCTATCACTTCAACATTTATATAAAGGTAAGTAATAAAAACAAGTTACTTATAAACTGGAAATAAAAAACTTATAATATCTCTTAAAAAAATAAAGGTTAGACTTAACATCATCCTTAGCAGAATGTAAATCTTCCAGTTTCCCCCCTAAAATTAAGAACAAATCAGGGGGTGCTGGAGAGAAGGCTCAGCAGTTAACAGAGCAATAGCCACTCTTTCAGAGGACCCGGGTTCAATTCTCAACACCCGCATGGCAGCTCACAACTATCTGTAGCTCCAGATCAAGATGATCTGACACCCTCTTTTGGCTCCCACCAGCACCAGAAATACAGCACAAAGGACATACATGAAAGCAAAACAACCATACACATAAAATGAAAAGGAAATTAAAAAAGCAAGGAACTCTGCTTTTCAATATAGGAAGAGGAAGAGGAAGAAGAGGAAGAGGAGGAGGACGAGGAGGAGGAGGAGGAGGAGGAGGAGGAGGAGGAGGAGGAGGAGGAGGAAGAAGAAGAAGAAGAAGAAGAAGAAGAAGAAGAAGAAGAAGAAGA